TGGTGGTGGCACACGCCTTTAATCCCAGCACTCGGGAGGCAGAGCCAGGCAGATCTCTGTGAGTTCGAGGCCAGCCTGGACTACCAAGTGAGTTCCAGGAAAGGCACAAAGCTACATAGAGAAACCCTGTCTCAAAAAACCAAAAAAAAAAAAAAAAAAAAAAAAAAAAAAGACCCTGCTTCTGAAACTAGCATAAAGCCACTAACACAAGAAAATGATTATTTAATACTACAAGGGTTGGTTTCAAAGGAGACACACCACACATTGTTGTTTATAAGACAGATCAGTGCCAAGCTAATGAACCAAATCTAGCCACCGCCTGTTTTTACAAAGAAAGTTTACTGTAGCACAGACTTATTTACGGATGCATTATCTGTGGTTGATTTTGTGCCATGAAGACAGCACCAAAGCTGAAACAGAGATCTTACGGTCTGAAGGGGCTGAAATAATACTATGTAGGCCTTTATTTTAAAAAATGGTTGTTACCTCTTACTTCATAAGAATTTTAAAAAGGGAACTGGTTGGAGAGATGGCTCAGCTGTTAAGAGTATATACTGCTTGGAGTAGCACTGAACACCAACCATGCCAATGTTGTTAAGGAAGCCATTATGTGCTTGTGATAGTGAGTTGTAACTGCTTATGTAACCTAGAATCATCTGGAAAGGGAGTCTGTCAACAAGAGACTGTCTGCTTTGGATTGCCCTATGGGTATGTCTGCTGGGAGCTGTCTTAACCAAGTCAACTGATATGGGAGGAGCATGCCCAGTGTGGGCAGTGCCATTCCCTATGCGATCCTGAACTGTTTAAGAGTAGAGAAATCAAGGTGATCACAAGAAGGCAATCAGGCAGCATGCATGCATTCATTTCTCTCCACTATTCACTGGGGATGTGATGTGACCATTGTCTCAAGCTCTTTTCATGATGACATCCCAGTAGGGATGGACTGTAACCTGGAACTGCAATGGTGCCTTCCCAGTAGCGATGGACTGTAACCTGGAACTGCAATGGTGCCTTCCCAGGAGTAATGGACTGTAACCTGGAACTGCAATGGTGTCTTCCCAGGAGCAATGGACTGTAACCTGGAACTGCAATGGTGCCTTCCCAGGAGCAATGGACTGTAACATGGAACTGCAATGGTGACTTCCCAGTAGCGATGGGCTGTAACCTGGAACTGCAATGGTGCCTTCCCAGAAGCAATGGACTGTAACCTGGAAGTGCAAGCTAAAACAAGTCCTTTCTCTCCTAAGTTGTTTGTTGTCAGGGTATTTTAATTGCAGCAACAGAAATAAAGTAGGAAAATACCTTTGGGGAGACAACTAGACTCAATGAAAGTTTAAACCTTCATCCAATTAGGCACCTAGACTCAACTATCAACAGAAAATGAAAACAAAACAAAACGGGAAACGTACTAAGCCACCTCACAGATTTGCAACATGTGGTGTGGCTTTCCTCAAATAACAACGGCAGGCTGGACACTGGTGCTCAATGGTAAGCCCATCAGCACCTGGGAGGCTAAGGCAGGAAGTGGACCACGAGTCTGGAGCTAACCTGGGTTACAGAGGCTTGCCCCAAAAAAGAAAAAAAATAATGACAATTTTGTTTATGTGAGTGCCCTCGAGTAGCAGCTAAGCTCACATGTTCATGTCAAATCTGGGTTTAGCTTTTAGGCTGCCTCCTACCAGCTTGGAGACTTTGGGCACGATGCTTAGCTTCTCTGAAGCTGATTCTTAGGATTCCCTGCTGGCAGTGTTGAGCATTGTAGCAGGACCTGTTGGGGTTGACATTTGTTCTCCTAGGAAGACTCTGTGCTTCATCCCACGGGCACAGCACCATCACTTCGCCTGTGTGCATTAACCCTGCTCTCTTTTTCTTCTCCTTTATTGAGTGATTTGCCCCGGTCTCACCCTGTCTACTGTGTGCTAACTAGGCTAGCCAAGCCTGTGACGCTGCAGCAACTGATCCCGTCAGTCACTCTGCTTCCTAACCGTGAGGCTCCAGGCAAAGTGAATGGGAGATTTCTCTAAAGATACCCCGAGAATCACAACTCTCTCATGCCATCGTCAGCTCCACAAACCGGAAACTGTGACTGCCACTATTCGATTCAGGACCCTCTTTGACAAAGATCTGGGAGTGCAGGAAGTTCTCCTGGTGTTGATGGACTGGCAAGGTAGAATCAGAATCAAAGAGACGGAGGCTGAAATCCAAGCCATACCAAGTCTAAAGGAAATGGTAGTGGCCAACTAGGGGAGGCTGGGGCACCTAAGGGAAGACACTCCAGGAAACCTTGGACATGGGCTGCTTCTGTCCTCTAGTGGCTGCTGGCTAGCACAGCAAGTATCAGCTTCAAGATGGTGGGCATTGTTTCTGAACTTGTAAGTTATGTTGTGTTTCTTAATTATGTCTGACCCATAATTCCCTTTCCACAAAATATATTTTGTTTAATGACAGTAATTTCTAAATATTTTTCAGTGCCCCTTTGAAGTACTTCCAGGTAGGTCTTCTTTGTGAGCACACAACAGAAACACAACTCAAATTTGTTTATGGAAAAAGGGACACTCACTGAGTCCCAGACAGGAGAAGGAAGGGTGTATGTGGATCCCTGAAGGGTTGCCTCTGGGACTGGATCCACAGACTTTTCATCAAGGCTTTGTGCCTCCTAGGGGCTGTGTCCATAGAAATTCAAACTGCAGGCTCTGGGTCCTGTGCAAAGCTCCTCAGCTCTGCAGAGTTCCAATTCAGAATACAAACATGGACACACACCCTTGCTGCTCAGGGGCAGGGACCTGTGACTGGCAGCTCTTCCTAAGAAACCAGGGTGGTCCTGTTCCCAGAAAGAAAGGGAGGTGGAAGGGTTCTGCCTGTTGGTCTGCCTTACATGGGACACCTTGCCTTCCAGACCCATCTGCCATTGCTACCTAAAGCTTAGACAGTTTGCACAGTTCCAACCAGCATATTTACGGCAGTGATGACATCATAGAACCAGGGTTCCAGAAGGCTGGGGTGGTCAAGAACACGTGCCTTCTCGAGAAGAAGGAGAACCATTAGCCAGGTGGGGCTGGAGAGTGCTTGGTGAGGAAGAGGAGGTTCCTGCCGCAAACCACCTTGTCCTGTAGATCCTTCCAGAAGGCCCTGGGCTGGCTGGGAGTTAGGGCCAGAGAAGTAGGTAGGCTTGGAAGCGGGATAGAGCCCTATGATGGGACCACTGTCACCCCAAGGGGAATCCTTGAGAGGTGTAATGGCCCAAGGCAGACCTTTCAGCATCCTAAGGCTCCGAGAAACCTATCTCAGAGGGACATTCTGAGTCAGAATGGGGAGGGCTGCATGTATCTGTCCGTCAAACAGCAATTTGCTATTTACCTGAGACCCTAATCCAACAGGGCCATTTGTTCTCTTTGCAACAATAGAGTGGGGTAGTGAGAACAGCCAAAGAAGGTCCCTCCCGAGTGCATGCTGTGTGGCAAAGACAGACAGAACGAGAGACCAGGAGGCAAGCAAGGTCACCAGAGAAGCCATCTTGCCCCTGCAGATGCTGAGGGGAAGGTGGAGGGATCCTGGCCTTTGCTATCAACACCATACACCTGGTTTAAAGGGAAAGACGTACATCCTATGACAGGAGCAGGCCCCATGTGCTCTCATGGAGTGAACATTTTGAAGGAGAGAACACAGTTATTCTACAGATACTCTCTTCTTCATTTCTTCATCATTAGACCCAGGCTTCCCATCCTTGGCCAGAGCATGTCATAAGAGTTTATGTATCTAGAGGTACAGAGTGTCCCTTTGTCCCTCACTGACAATGTTAATTTTAGTTGCAAGGTCAAAACACTGTCTGGGTTTTTCTAAGCAATATGGGGAGGACCAAGACCATGTATACAAGCCCTGATATTTCTCTAGCTTCCACCACCTCAGACTTGGTGCCCATGGTAGTTCTTGTTCAAACCAATCATTATGCCCACACCATATTCCTATTGTAGTCCAGAAATCTGCCACATTCCTAGGAGTCTCAGTTCCACTTTGTAAGGAACGTGAAACAAAGTCTTGGGTGTTTATTATGTATCTTAATCATACCATCATTCTGATTGGGTAGGTATTGATAAATAAATTTTCATTTCACAATGGGGTCCAGAGAGATAAGTATGTTGTTCAAAGTCACACAGCAGCCCAGTCTTTGATAGCTGGCAGTGGGTGGGAATTCAGAGTCCTTGATCTTCAAACACACACACACACACACACACACACACACACACACACACACACACACACACACAGAGAGAGAGAGAGAGAGAGAGAGAGAGAGAGAGAGAGAGAGAGAGAGAGAGAGAGAGAGAGAGCACATTAAAGTGCAGGTTATTTCTATAACAAGATTACTTTTACTTGCTTTCTGATATGCACCTTGACAGAAACAAGCCAACAGAATCTACAAGTAACCCACCAGGAATTGCATAAGGCATAGTTTGCAGAGGTGAAGGTCGTGTTTCATGTGTCTGGGAGTATGGCTTGGGGGAGATTGGCACCCCAGTGTTCCAGTCCTTCCTCTGAAGGCATGTGCTCAAATACATACCACAAATGCTGGTGAAGCACAGATTACTTTTCTCTCCTTTGTCAACCTCACTCCCCATCCTGGCACCCAAATGCTGCCTGTGCCTAATTACAGGAGGACCTGCAGATGAAGCCAGGGTGGTCTTGATTTTGAGCTGTTGAATCTGGGCAATGGGTATGTGGAGGATCATGAGATTATTCTCTCCCCTTTTGTGTTTCAATTTCCCGTGACCAAAAATATGATATGAATTAAAAAATGAGTTGAGTGTGGTGGCTCTTGTCTGTGACGCTAAGGCTCTGGAAGCAGAGGCAGGAGGATTGCTGAAGGCCAGCCTGGTTACATACTGATTTCCAGGATAGGCTTGGGCTGTAATGTGAGATTGGGGTAGAGGGGGGCACTGAAACTCACCAGGCATTGAGCATTGAGTGAGCAGGAAAAATGCGGTTTCTGTCCTCAGATTCCCCCAGGCTCTCAGAGGCTGGCAGGCACCTCGTTCCTTTTGATGACGATGAAGGTGCTGCTTATCTGCATGGCAAGTTGCCTCCTGGTGGTGAATGGTGGAGACCTCATCAATCGCTGTGCCTTGGCCAAGATACTGCACGAGGAGGACTTGGATGGGTTTGAGGGCTACTCCCTGACGGACTGTGAGTGCCGCTGCCTCAGCTCCCCTCCACCCCTCCTCTAGCTGTCTTACCCCCTTCCCTCCTTTGCCATGTGTCTTTCAAAGTCAAGTTCAAAGAACCATCTCCCGCCCCCACCAAGAGGCCTTTCCCAACATGCCGCATTTAAACCAACAACTGTTAACTGAGCACTTATTATGCACCACTGTTTTAAATGTAATCAAATTCTTTCCCTCACAGTGATCACATTCTAGGAGGGGCAAGAGCAGCAACAAGCACACACGCCGACATAAAGTCTTGGCTGGTGGTGACACATGCCCTAAGTGTATGATGCAGGTCTACGATTCCCAGAGTTGAAAGCAAGAGGGTTGCTGTGAGGCCAAGCAGGGCTAGATAGCAAGTTCTTGTCTCAAACAAGCAGACAAAAAAAGGCTTAAGGGGCCGGCAGAAGGCTCAGCAGGTAAAAGCACTCGCCCTGTGAGCCTGACAACTTGACTTGGATCCCTAAAACCAAGATGGTTTTGAAAAGTTGGAGCTGGAGAAATGGCTCAGCAGTTAAGAAGCTGTTCAGGTCCTCCAGAACACCTGGATTTGAGTCCTAGCACCCACGTCAAACAGCTCACAACCACCTGCAAGTCCCTCTCCAGGGAACCTGACACCTCTGGCCTCCCCAGGTACCCCGAAGTCACACACACAGAGACACACATAATTAAAGACGACTCTGTTTTACCACACCTATAATCCCAGGACTCCATGGCGAAATGAGTGCAGAGGAAGGGAAAGTAGCCTGAAGCTCCCGGGCCGGCCAGCCTGGAGTCCACACACGCCGGCCAGCCTGGAGTCCGTGACGCAGCTGCAGAAACAAGAGAGGCAAAGAGGAGAACCGTCTCCCAAAAGTTGTCTTCTGACTTCAACATGCGTTCTCATTCTCTCTGCGTCTCTCTGTCTCTGTCTGTCTGCCCACCTGCCCTGCCCACCCCCCCACACACTTAAAAAAAAAAAACCTTAAAAACAAATTCATGTGCAAAGGTAACTGCTGAAAGGTGGAGGTCAGGGACAGACTCTGGGGAAGTGACCCTGGGCAGTGTTGAGTGAAACGACAAATGTCTAGAGGAAAGGCATTCCAGGCCAGAGGAGCAGCCCGTGCAAAGGCTTTGTCCATGGTTCTGCATGGAAGGGCTCTTTCCTTTCCACCGGAAATCTGTGCACACCTGCCTTGTGACACTTTCTCCACTTCTCCTGCTGTGTGTGTGTGTGTGTGTGTGTGTGTGTGTGTGTGTGTGTGTGTGTTAAGCACATACTTTTGTTCTAGGCCCCTTGAAGTCAACACCAGTCCATTGGGCTGTGCATTGTCCTGGCACACAGTAGGTACTCAGCAAGTGCAGAAAACATAAGTGGGTGGAAAGATGGGAGGACGGCTGTACAAATGGACAGGGAAATGGACTGAAGGACGGATGGAGTCTGTGGGTACTTCTAGCTCATCAGGAATAGCTAGCCTCTTGGGCCTTGTTCCCTCTCCTGATGCCTTGCTCCCACTTTTGCTCAGTCGACTCCTTCCCACTCAGTTTGCATCCTTCTAATGCCTGAGCCTCTTCTCTCTGTTCTAAGGGCTGTGCTTGGCTTTTGTGGAAAGCAACTTCAACACATCAAAGGTGAACGAGAATGTAGACGGCAGCTTCGACTACGGCATCTTCCAGATCAACAGCCATTACTGGTGCAACGACTACCTGAGTCATTCAGAGAACTTCTGCCACACGGACTGTGAAGGTCTGCCTGGGAGCCCTGGGGTGGGAGGGCTGAGAGAGGAAGCCAGGCTCTGCATACAGGTGCAGCCTGGGCATGTCCTTCCAGGGATGGCTTAAAGAGCAAGGAGTCCCTTAACTGAGCAGAGGAATAGCTCCACAGTCTTAATACCCCATCCTTGCATGGGGTCTGGAGGGTCCCTTGAGGAGGATCCAGAAAGACTCTTAATGGCTGGGAGTGGCATTGCAGGCACACTAATTAACAATATGTTCTATATTGAGCATATCATATGAACAGCTCATTTTATCTACCCTTCCACACAATAGAAACTTTATGATCCCTGCTTCCCAGATGAGCAAATTTAGGCTCAGAGAACTTCTAAGGGCTGTTGTCTTTAGTACCACCTATTTGGGAGGCGGAGGCAGGAGGACTGTCTGAGCCCAGAAATTCAAGGCTGGCCTGGGGCCATACAGTGAGATGCTGTCTGAGGAAGGGAAGGAAGGAGGGGAGGAGGGAGGGAGGGAAGGGGAAAAGGAGGGAGACAGCCTGGAAATGTGACTTGTGGCCTTAAATGCTCAGGTATAACCATTCACTTGTTCCCAGGCTAATGGCCGGATCAAAGGCCAGGTATAAATTTCTTGCCTCAAAGCTAATCTGGGAGGCTTGACAGGGCCAGTGGCTCCTTCCTACCCTAACATTCTTGGGTTTCTCACCTGCAGACCCTTTTATAAGCAGGACTTTTTCTTGGTCTGTGTGTTGTCTGTTTTACACCCCTTCCTCCCAGAAATCTGAAAACTCTGGGTGAGCCATTACCTACCCTGGCTGGAGGAACAGCAGTGGGCAGGATCAGTCTCCTCCGGGCCCCACTTCCCATCTCTGGCAGCCTCTGCAGGGCTATCTAAATGGGTCCCTAGGATGGAGGCCTTGCCTAATCTGGAAGTGCTCAGGCCCTAGGTTGACAAGTGCAGGCAGAGACAGTGTCTGTTTAGTCTTTGGGATTAGCCTTTGAACATATCACAGGTGACCTCCTCTTTCTTTTCAGATATGCTGGGTCCCAACCTCCTTCCATCTATCCACTGTGCGAAAAAGATTGTGTCTGGATCAGGAGGGATGAGAAACTGGTGAGGAGGCTGGGTGGGATTGAGTTAGGAGGAGCATATGACAGAGCGAGAGGCAGTGGACAAGGACTTGTGGGCAATCGCTTACAGAGGTTTAGAAAAACACGGAGCTGGAGAGATGGTTCAGTGGTTACTATCACTGGCTGCTCTGTCAGAGGACCCTGGTTCAATTCCTAGCACCCACAGGACAGATCACAAACATCGGCAACTCCAGTCCTAGGGGAACCAACACCCTCTTTTGGCCTCCACTGGCATTGCATGCACATGGTACACAGGCAAATACTCTCACATACAAAATAAAAATGAAAACCTCAAAAAATTAAAAAAAGGAAAAAGATGGGGTAGTGAACAGCACTCTTTGACATAATACCTGGGGTTGGTTCTTTCTCTGATATTGAATTAATAACTTTTCTTTCTTTCTTTCTTTCTTTCTTTCTTTCTTTCTTTTTTTGGTTTTTGTTTTGTTTATCGAGGCAGGGTTTCTCTGTGTAGCTCTAGCTGTCCTGAAACTTGCTTTTTAGACCAGGCTGGCCTTGAACTCACAGAGATCCACCTGCCTCTATCTTCCAATGCTGGGATTAAAGGCGTGAACCACCACTGCCCTGCAATAACTTTTGATTATAATAAGACAAAGCAACTTGAGTTAGCAGAGGAAAACTGTTTGTTCACATGTTTAAATACTTCGTTACTTATTTTTAGTTTGTGTATGTGTGTGGTAAGCATGTCTGCATACATGTGTGTGGGGCCTGATGTTGATGGAGTCTTCCTCAGTCTCTCTTCACCTTATTCATTGAGCAGTCTCCAAATTGTACCCAGAGCTCACAGATTTGGCTAGTCTGGCTAAGCAGTTTGTTCCAGGAATCCCCTGTCTCAGCCCTCAGAACACTGGAATTCGAGGGCGACAGGCCTTCCTGACACTTATGTGGGTTTTGGGGGGAATTCCAGCTCTGGTCTTTATGTTTGTGAACCATCCCCCAGCCCAGAAATTTATTTTGAGAGGATGTCTCTTACTGAGCCCACTGAAGGGATGCAGCTGGGCCTCAGGAGAAAGTTGGAACCTCAGGAGAGGTTTCTCATGGCCAGTTCTGCTTCCACGGCTTCCACATTCAAGTCACCATCCACATTCAAGTCACCAATCTCTGCAAACCAGCATCCCCTGCTCTCCAATCCACAAGACAGCATCCCAAGTCTATAACTTGAAGTCCTTGGTGGATGGGTTAGTCAAGTCCTGGTCAAAGTTCCTGATACAGTGACTCTAATTGGTTCAGTGTGAACCAGTGTTTTCCCCCTTGATCCAATCCACCGAAAGCATAGCGAAGTCGTAATATAAACGTGTCTCCTGCAGAGGCCTTCTCATAATCAACGATATTTTCTATTAAAAGGGACTCCTTAGTGGTACAGATACTTCAAAGTTTTCAGCTCCTCAAAACTGGAGGCATAGGGGACCACTTAATCTTTTCTGTGCTTCAAACTGGACATAAAACTAATACAAATGGCCCCATATACAGGAACTGGTAAGAACGCAAAGAGTTGTAAGTGTTGCATGCTCAAAACAAGAGCCAGGAAGGAAACTTAATGATCCTTTTTGAAGGGGAGGTTCAAAGGTTGCAACTAGGATTTTGTTTTAATTAGCTCTAAATCCTATAGAATAGTGACCCCCACCTTCAAAGGGAAGTGAGGAATTAAAAATGTGGATGCTTGCCGGGCGGTGGTGGCGCACGCCTTTAATCCCAGCACTCGGGAGGCAGAGCCAGGCGGATCTCTGTGAGTTCGAGGCCAGCCTGGACTACCAAGTGAGTTCCAGGAAAGGCGCAAAGCTATACAGAGAAACCCTGTCTCGAAAAACCAAAAAAAAAAAAAAAAAAAAAAAAATGTGGATGCTTATGAATGAGGGAAGAGGGCAAGCCCCAGGAGTGAGGGAACCTCAAAGAAGAATCAGAAAGGACAGCCCAGTCAGGAATGAAGTGGACTCTGGGTGCTGCTTTGCAGGGAGGCGTCTCCAATACTAGATCACATACGTGGGGCAGCAGCAATTAAACAGAGAACAAAAACCTTCTCTTTTTACTCCACAGGGTAGAATGGAGGTTGCACTGTTCAGAACGGCCGCTCTCCTATTGGATGACAGGATGCCATCTGGGATGAACCAGGGTGCAGACCCACTGGAGAGTCACTCCAGAACCCCTCTTCTACTGGGAGATTCTTCACTACTTCATCTTCTTGCTTTCACCTCACACTATTTTCTTCTCTTCCCACTCACAAGTAAAACTGACCAGAGTCCCAGGGGAAAATGTCTTATGGAGGTTCCCTGCTTGTGTTCATCCAGACCCAGTTCCTTTGTTCTTAACTGTCATTTGCAAACCAAGAAGACGTCAAATAAATACAATTATTTTTCAAAAATTTATTAAAGCACACTCTGGGCAAAGAATGTTTATTTAGTTCTTAATTCCACTTACATTTGAGTACGTAACACTTTGAGTGTTCTAGGCATGAGAAAAAGGAAGACTGACATATATATATTACATATATATGTTATATATCTATATCTATATCTATATATATATATATGTTGCTCTTAAGGGATTCACAATTAAGTTAGTGAAGAAGGGCCAGCCACAGACACTACAGTGGGTGATAAAATATTTACTAAAATCTATACTTGTTGCTTAGAAACAGTATCAAGCTATTAGTAATTACACCCCGACAACTATTTTTAAAGGTTAATAGAAGATTCAGATATAGGTAGCCAGTGGGGCTGAGGGTCTGGCATTGAAATGGAGAAAATGGTACTGAGATAAAAAAAATGGTAACTGGTGCCAATGACTTGGAGAGAATGAATGAGAATCTAGATTATAAAAAAAAAACCCAAATAATTTTTAAAAAAGTAGAAGAGGACCAGCAAAATGGCTCAGCAGGCAAGAGTGCTTGCTGCCAAGCCTGAGGACCTGAGTTCAATCCCAGGAACCTACATGGTAGAAGAAAACTGACTCCTGGAAGTGGTCCTGACCTACCCACCTGTGCAGTGGTATGTGGCTGTACACACACACACACACACACACACACACACACACACACACACACACACGTGCACGCGAATGAAAGCTTTTCTGGATAGGATCTGATTGGTTTGGCAGGAGCAGACATGGAGTATAATTTGCTTAAGGACAAGGCACAAAGGCAGAAAAGGGACAGCTGGGGAAATGTCCTGCACACAGCCACTATCAGTAGTGTCTAACTAAACTAGAGTGTTCACGTGGGCCACTTATTCCTCTACCCCGAGCTTTAACCGCATCAACAAAGGATCTGACTGTTCACTAGCTTCCTGACTTCTATATTTCACAAGCAAGTAGGAAGTCAATCACTAAGCCAGAAGAGCCCTACATTAGATACTTGTCTTGTGTCAAAATACCCGAAAAACCCAGGGTTTTATTTCTCATTTTTCATTCTTTGGCTCACAGTTTGAGGGTCCAGTCCATCACGGTTGACATGGCAGCAGGAGTGTGAGACTAACTGATCACATGGCATCTGCAGTTAGAAAACAGAAAGAGATGCACGCTGATGTTCCGCTAGCTCGCTTTCTGCTTTTTGATTGGTCCAGAACCCCAGTCCAAGGGACAGTGCCACCCACATTCAAGTCGGTCTTCCTTCCTCAGTTAAAACTTTCCTGGAAATATCCTCCCGGACACACCCCGTGTGTGTTTCCATGGCGATCTTAAATCTAGTCAAGCTGATAAGGATTAATCATCACGAATTCGAACTTGATTTCAATACTTCGTTAAGAATATTACAACTAGTCTCAGCATTTTTTGGTAAAATAGCATCAAATTTTTATGGAAGTCATACATGCAGGAGAGGGGAATATAATACACTTCATTTTATAAAATGAAAAACTAATATTGTCAGGACTGGAGAGATGGCTCAGTGGTTAAGAGCACTGGCTGCTCTTTTAGAAAACACAGGCTCAATTCCTAGCACCCACATGGCAGCTCACAACTGCCTGTAATTCTAGTTCCAGGGGATCCAACACCATCTTCTGGCCTCCGTGGGCAACAAGTATGCGTGGTGCACAGTCATACATGTAGGCAAAAGCACCTGTAAACATTAAAATAAAATTTACTTCAGTTATTTTGTCGAGGACAGGTGAAAACATCATAGACCAGTATGGACCTGAGGGCTGTCATTTAGAACTCAAATGTTCTTCAGTCCTTTCATCCTCCGAAAGCCTAGAATTATTGAGCCGTAGTAGGTCTCACCTTCTCTCTGAGCGTTACTCCAACAAGTAGCCCATTGTATCTCCTGGAACACCTTTCTTAGGTGTATCAGCTCCAGTATTTATGTGGGTCCATTTTGATCCCTTTCCAAATTTTTCTTCTCAACTCACAGCTTCTCACACTCTCCAAACTCCACATACACACATCAGCAGAAACTCCAGGACAAGCAGGGGCATGTCTTTAAAGGTTTCACGCTAGACCCCTAGTGGTTGAATTCTGGCTTAGTTTTGCATCATTAAAACTCTTTAAAGTTAACTCAAAGGATCCCACCTTTAGAAGTCTTTTCCCACCAGTTCAACAGTGCTAACTGGATTTTAGACTCTTTTGGAAGTGAAGATGAAGCCAGCTGGATCCTGTATGTCTACCCTTGAAAAAAATGCTTGGTTAGGAGCACTAGAGTCAGCGCTAGCGTCGGAGCGGTGCGGTTGGCGCCGAGGATTAGACCCCAGAGGTCTGTCTGCCGGGTGAGAAGCGGAAGGACGAAGCTGGCCCGCCGCGGGCCACACCCTTCGCACGTGCGCCTTGTGCAGGCGTTGCTCGCCGCGCAGGCGCACTGAGGGGAGGAAGTAGGAGTTGCACCAAGAGCGCGAAAGCGTTGAATGGAAACTTGAGCTCTGGGCCCTCTGGTGGAGGCTGCACTGAGGAGGGAGGATGGACGAGGCCACCTCCTGCGCCTGGGGAGTCCCGGTCCCTCCCCCTTGGAGCTCTGGACACAGGCCCAGGACCCGGCGGCGGCGGGCAGTGAGCCCGCCGGGCGCCCTTCGCCACCCGCGCTTCTCACGCACTCGTCGCCTCCTCAGAGGAAAAGCCTCTCTCTGTGCGTGCGGGGAGAAGGGCGGCGACTCGTGGGACCTGGGGCGGGCGATGAGCGCTCACGTCGTGGGCCTCCCACAGCATTCTCTCCCGTTCACAGCGTTCTCCCAGTTTGCCCTTCTGTTGCTAATCCGGGCCTTCCCGAACGCTGCAGCGGGCCCGGTTTCCACACCATCATCAACTTTTCCTGGGCCAGGGACGCGCAGAGAGCCCCGAAGCCTTGAGCCCCGAAGCCTCCTCTTCAGACGTGGTCCGTGAAAGTGGGTACAAATGAGGGAGCTGGAGGGAAGTTGAGTTCAGCCATAGCGTTTGTGCGGCTCTCTGGTTCGCAAGTGCATCCCGGTGTGTTTTCACTTGAGCCGCGAGGGCTCCAGGCTTTCTGGATGGTTACATGATTTTTTTTTTTTTTTTTCAGGTTTGCAGCAGTGACTGGTGTAAAAGGTCAAAACCCAAGTGTACTCATGTAGAATATTCCGCATCGGGTTTCTGTTGCCTTTAAATTTAAGGCATCACAGGAGGTTAGCTGTGTTGCTTTCCTGTAGATTTAAGATGTGTGAGTTTGACAAACTGTCCGTTGTAACCATTTCCCAGAAAATAGGCTTCTTTAATGTGCTGTAGAAACCCTCTTCCATGTCAGCATGCCAACCGATTTAATTTCCCAGCGCCTGCCTTGGGGCCACATCTATGTCTCTCAATTCAAACACCTGTCCTTTTCAAGGACCATTTCAGTTAATGATTGGCCACCTGATCTGTCTTTTTGCTTGTCTTTGTCTATGTAGCGTTCCTCATCCACTTTTATTGACTCTGAGAACTTTCCTCAGTAGGGATCCCTATTACACCATCTCTGCTTCTGTACCATGTTCAACACTTTCTTCCATCTTCGTTCATCCACTTCTAATAATGGAGGAGATCATCTGTCATGCATTGTTTAATTATTTAATTGTGGTCTGTTTCTAACCTGTGACCAGGTCCAGGCATTTATATAGTATAGATGTCACTGGAGAAATTACAAAACAGTAGTGAGTTTTTCCTGCTTTTTGGAAACTGGGACTATTTCATAAATCTTAGGTGTTAAGCACTCGGGAGGTAGAGCCAGGCGGATCTCTGTGAGTTCGAGGCCAGCCTGGGCTACCAAGTGAGTTCCAGGACAGGCGCAAAGCTACACAGAGAAACCCTGTCTCGAAAAACCAAAAAAAAAAAAAAAAAAAAAAAAAAGAATCTTACAAGTTGCCGGGCAGTGGTGTACACTTTTAATCCCAGCACTCGGGAGGCAGAGCCAGGCGGCTCTCTGAGTTCGAGGTCAGCCTGGGCTACAGAGTGAGATCCAGGAAAGGTGCAAAGCTACACAGAGAAAAACAAAACAAAACAAACAAACAAAAAAAGAATCTTACAAATTAAGCCCATCATTGAATAAGTGAAGTCATACTTAGTACAGAGTTTAAATATTCTTCTAGCTTTGGTGAATACAGGTAGTTCCTACCTTGTTCCCCCTGACACATACCTTTTATAAATATAGAAAAGAGAATGATATTTTTTGTTTGATTGTTTGTTTGTTTTGGAGACAGGGTTTCTCTGTGTAGCTTTGCGCCTTTCCTGGAACTCACTTGGTAGCCCAGGCTGGCCTCGAACTCACAGAGATCCTCCTGCCTCTGCCTCCCGAGTGCTGGGATTAATGGGATTAAAGCTGTGTGCCACCACCACTGCCCGAGAATGATATATTTTTTTAAAGATTTATTTATTTATTATGTATACAGCATGTATGACTTCAGGCCAGAAGAGGGCACCATATCTCATCACAGATGGTTGTGAGCCACCATGTGGTTGCTGGGAATTGAACTCAGGACCTCTGGAAGAGCAGGCAGTGCTCTTAACCTCTGAGCCATCTCTCCAGCCCGAGAATGATATTTTTAAAAGCACCTTAAGAGAAATTTTTACTTCATTTTCTCTTCATGAAGGAAGATGATTACCAGCAACAACTGTGGTGAACTTATCTTAGGTAATGGCTCTGTGCTTCCTGCTTGTCCAGAAAAGCCCAATGTGACTATCACACGGCCAGTCTTCCTGACAGTGCTGGGCATGTCAGCTTTCTAACAGGCAATTAGTTTTAGATCTTCAGATAGAGCAATTTCATTTTTAAATCATTCACTCATTCAGTCATTCAGCTGACATACTATCAATCCTCTACTAGATGGTGTGGACTGTGCTTGATTTTGGGATAAGAAAAGAACAAAATATTGGCCTATCGGGCGAATAACGACTTGTGATGGA